CTGCTGAACTGGGCCAGGCCGGTGTCCAAGCTGCCCCCACAGCAGGTCCAGGTGCAGCACTGCTGCGGTCCTGGGACCTGAGTTCAGTGCATGTGCACTGCTGGCCTGGTGAAAACAATGCCCGACAGTCACCGGGGCCAACTGCCGGCTCACCGCAGTTAAGGCGAGACCAGTGCCAACAACAGCGTACTTTCTGAGCCCACGCGGCGGGGGAAGAGTGACACAACAGAGCACATTCACAGGTGAAAGCTCCAATGGAGGAACACTCAGTGGCTTCTCTCCCAGTGGGAGTGCTCCAATCCCACCTACCTTGCACCGCAGATCAGAAACAGCTCAGAGACAGATCTGGGGGCTTCTACTCCGACAGCTAGGGAGCAGACCCTGCCCCTGACACGGCAGTGACAACCACAGAGCAAAGAGGAGGCCTCACTCGATAGCCAGTGTAGGCTCTGGTCACCACAACATCAGTCACACCACCTATCAAAGGGATAACGGCCAGCATACACTGAGGAAAGAGGTGGCAGACGTCCATACTAAAGGCAGCACTTGCACTAAAAAAAATATTAAACCCACGCAGGCTACACAGGGACATTCCCACTTAAAAACAGCCTTCCAGGGACTTCCCTGATGGTCCAGTGACAAAGAATCAACCTCACAATCCAGGAATGTGGGTTTGATCCCTGGTCGGGGATCGACCCCACATGCCGTGGGGCAACTAAGCCTGCACGCCGCAACTACTGAGCTCACACACCTCAACCAGAGCCCGCATGCTGCAAACTACAGAGCCCAGCCCTCTGGAACCCGTGCACCACAACGAGAGAGAGAAAACCCACACCCACAACTAAAGAGAAGCCCACGCACCACAACAAAGAGCCCGTGCACCACAACGAAAGATCCCACGTGCCTCAACGAAGATCCCACGTGTGCCGCAACTAAGACCCAACGCAGCCAAAAATAAATAATAAATGGAATAAATAGATAATAAATAAGTACTGAAAACAAAATTGCCTTCCAAGACAGTCAGAGGGCCTGGCATCAGGAGGAGGAACCCCCAGGGCATTTAGCTTTGAAGGCTAGTGGGGCTTGAGTGCAGGAGTTCCACAGGGCTGGGGAAACAGAAACTCCACTTTTGAAGGGCACACACAAGGTCTCACATGCACTGGGACCCAGCACAAAGCAGTACCTCCATAGGAACCTGGGCTAGACCTACTTACAGGTCTTAGAGGGTCTCCTGGGGAGGCAGGGGTCAGCTATGGCTCACTGGG